GGCAGCCATTATCCATGCGGTCATCCAGGTGAATCTGAACCTGGCTCTCTCCTCATCACCGCATGCTCCAAGAGTGCCCTGCCTCCAGAGGAAAGAACAACCACCTCTGGACGATGCGAGTGAGTAAGTTACTAGCGATCTGATTAGATATTTAGCTTCAGTAACTCAGATGCGTGTTGAAACGGCTACCTCAGCCACCCTGGTTTGCTCTATGGGATTCCTTTGATATTCCTATAAGATTTCTTGATATTGCTCTACCTTTTACCCTATTTCTGCCCTACCCCTGTAATCAATAAAGTTCTCCTTTGTGACCGGTGTGGGAGACTTATTGAGGGGTGGGTCTAAATTATGCCGAGGAGGCCCCTTAGGTCGGTGGACTAAGGGAGGCTTCCTAATAAGCCCCTGACTTGGGGAAGTGCCCCAAGTGCTTGTATTGGGTCTAGGACCCATTGGACGATCAGGCCTGTGTTTTCCAAGGTGCACAGAGCCAGAAGTGAGTCCAGAGCCTTGGATGGTGGCAGCGGGAGCCCCAGGCTAGCGGGTGTGCTCCAGGGAAGGGGTCGGCCGGACGGGAGGCACCCCAGGGAGGCACTCGGAGCCTGGAAGGTGGGCGGGCGCAGGGAGGTGGGCGGCTTCACGCAGGAGCACCCCCTACTGGCCCGCCACACTGGACACACGGTCACTGCTGTGATTTCCCTGTGCTAGGGGAGCCACAGAGGAAGTGACTTCCTCACTCCTTGCTCTTTTTCCTCAACTTAGAAATCTTGTGTAAGCTAAAGAAAAGATCACTGTCCTGAACTTTGCCTTTCTAGAGGATTGTTCAGGACATATTTTGCCCCAGGAAGACACTTCCATTGCTTTTGTCTTTTTTTATTTTCATTCTTTCACAGACTATCTGCCAAGGGAAACAGCAAGGCAAATGGGATCTCATTTAAGAGCATCTTTTTCACTGATTTTGCTGAGAATCATGAATGCTTTGAATAAAAGTCTCATGAATCATAATAGTAACTCCCAAGTCTAGTAAGTAATATGTGATGTATTGGAATAATATAATTTCCCGGTCAACTTAATCTGCACCTATCTCCTGAGCAGTGTGCCATTTCCATGGCTATTGTAAACTTTGCCCTGTTCCCAAGGCCTGTGAGAGGGAGGGAATGGGAAACAGCTACATCAGGCCTCCAATCCTCCCCCTCCATGTATATGAGAATTTTCTGTTTTATTAGACAGTAAAGTGTAGTGAGTAAAATAGTAATTATAAGAAACATGTGTGTACATAAAGTAGAAGTCTGAGCTCTCAAAATTTATTTTAAAACATCTGAATTCAGCTTGGAATTCAAAAAGATTTCCTGTATTTTCTGCTTCCCAACTGGGAGGTGGGGAGGCCCCCTTACCTGGATTGAAGCCCCCAAATTACTCTCACAGGCCTGGCCTGCCCATCCCACCAGGAATAAATGAAAATAACTCCAAAACTGGTCTTGCAAAGGTTGTCCAACAGAGCCTGGCTCTCCACCCTACGGTTAGTTGGTGTTTTATAGATTGGAAGGCCAGAAGGGACCTGGGGAAATCACCGGGTCCAGCCCACTGCACCAAGCAGGGAAGACAACTGGGGGTCAGGGGACCCCAGCAAGGTGACTGTCTAGTCTCCTCCTGAAGATTGCCAGGGTAGGCGATTGCACCAGCTCTGGAGGGAGCTTATTCCACAGTCTGGACACCCTGACTGTGAAGAAGTTTTTCCTAATGTTGAGCCTGAATCGGTCTTCCAGGAGTTTGTGGCCATTACTCCTAGTTTTCCCCTTGGGTGCCCTGGTGAACAGTTGCTCATCGAGCCCTTGATGTCCTCCCCTAGTGTAGCAGTAACCTGCTACCAGGTCCCCGCTCAGCCTTCTTTTCCTCACACTGCAGAGTCCCAGGTCCCTCAACCTTTCCTTGAATGACTTGCTGTGTAATACTGATCATGCTGGTGGCTCTTCTTTGGACTCTCTCAAACTTGCCCACGTCCTTGTTAAAGTGTGCTGCCCAAAACTGGACACAGTACTCCAGCTGCGGTCTCACCAGTGCTGAGTAGAGCAGAAGAATCGCCTCCTTGGTTTTGCTGGAGATGCATCGATTGATGCATGCCACAGATTATTTGCCCTACCTGCTACAGCATTGTACTGCCAGCTCATATTCATACTGTGGTCTATTATTACCCCGAGGTCCCTTTCATTTGTGGTGCTAGTCATTTTAGTGCCACCAAGCCTGTCGGTGTGTTGGGGGTTGCTTGTCCCCAGGTGGAGCGCTTTACATTTCTTGATGTTGAATTTCACCAGGTTCCAATCCGGCCAACTTGCCAGCCGGTCTCGGTCCACTTGTAGATGTAGCTTATCTTCAAGTGTGACCACGCTCCCCCGTAATTGGTGTCATCCATGAACTAGGCCAGTGAGCACTTCGCCGCACGTGTAAATTGTTAATAAAGGTGTTGAAAAGCAGTCGACCGAGCACCTAATCCTGCGGACACTGCTGCCCACCTCTCATTGATATAGCAGTCTCGTTGATATAACAGCATTGATATAACAATCCTTGCTTTGTAGACCTGAGTTCTTGGCTGACTGCTATGACTAAATGATCCTTAATGTGGCTGCAAGGAGGTGTTGTGTTGATGATGTAGCCTGGAAAAATGGTTTCTCCTCTCCCCACCTATTGCCGATAGGTGAAACAAGCCATTTGTGTGGACGGAAATGTCAAAAGCAACACACTTTCCCCCTCCTCTTGAATGCAGGACATTTTTATTTTGCAGTAACGGAAATTGAGTTTGGGGATTAGGAAGAACTTCATCACACTGCGGGTGGTTAGGTATTGGAACATTTTGCCTAGAGGGGTTGTGGCATCTCCCTCTTGGGAAGGTTTTGCAGTCAGGTTTGATAAACACTTGGATGAGATAGTTTAGACAGGGATGACCATGTCATGAGCCATGGGACTGGAGGAAGTGATCTCCTGAGGCCCCTGTATGTGTGCTGCTGCTCAGCATGGTCCTGAGAGTCCTTTTAGGTCCTTGGCTGGTGGGTCTTGCTCATACACTGTGGGTCAAATTGACTGCCAGATTTGGGGGCAGGGAGGAGGATATCTTCCTGTTGGGATTGTTATGGGGTTTTTGCCTTCTCCAGGTGAGAGCCCGCTCCTAGACTCGTGTGAGAGCAGTCTCCGTGACAGCGCATGTGCGTGGCCCAAACACAGTCTCTGGATGGTGTAGGAGATGGAGATGTTTAATGATCTGGACAGCGTAGTTGCCCTGCTTAAGATTGTGCAGCTCCCCCTTTCAGGCAGGGAAGGGGCCTGAAAAACAACCCTGGAGCCATTGAGGGTTCAATGTAAATAATGGAAACTTGTGACAGGCTTTTGTCCTTCGTCTTGTGCGCTCAGACACAACCCTAGCCAGCAGAGGAAAGGCTTGTATCTCCCTTTAGGCTGAATGAACCACTGCCCAGTGCCAATCTAAGGGAAGCGGATGTGAACAAATAGCTAAAGATGGGTTAGTAGTGGTCATTGTCACTGGGGCTGACTGTTAGCACCGTTAATTCGGGGAGAGACATCACTGCATCCAACCTGAACGACTGCCCCGGCCCAGGCTGGGGCTCCGGTGTAACAAATGGGCCCCACGTGCTAGTTCAGGAGCTTCTCCTGGGGTTTGGTTGTCTCTGCAGCACCCCAGTGTCTCCCAGCAAGGCATTTGGGACTACCTGCCGGGGCATGCAGCTCTTCCTGTTTCTGTAAGGAGTGCCGGAGAGGGTGGCAGCTGTCTTACAGGTATCATGGTTGTCTCTAATGTGCTGCTGTGGATTTGCTCCAAGACAGCTGTCTGTGCCTCTGCACATCTTGTAAGGTCTTAGCTTTGCTTTTTTTACACCCAGCAATTCACAGCAAGTGTGCTTTCTTAGACCAGATGGAGGGGCCATTTCTGCTCTCTGCTGCTTCAGATTTGTACCACAGTGGGACCTCTCTGGAGTTAACACCGGTGTGACTGAGAGCAGACAAGGCTTCAGTGCCAAGTGCCGAGTTCCCCTCAGTTACCCCTTGCAGTCACCACCACTTCTCCTTGGGGAAGTCTGGACATGATGAGAGAACAGGCTTGTGGGCTGACAAGTTTGAGGGCTCCCAAACTCAAGTTTCCTGTTGACCAGGAGATCTCTTATGCTGGCACTCCTACTAGGCAGAGGAAGCAGCTGTTTCATGGAAGAAAAGGTCAGTGTGAAGAATAGAGAGGGTTTGGACCCATGAATGCAAGTGGAGGTGCCATTCACCAAAATAAAGCTGCCCAGCATTTCACCAAAATAAAGCTGGCCAGCATTTTTAAGCTGCAAGAAAAGAGTGTGCACATGGGCCGTGCCACAGCGCAGCATGCAGACTCAGGTTTTGCCTGTTTCCGTCTTGCAGTGTCTTCATTTGTACATGCCCCGGGATTCAGAGACTTAGAGATGAGAGGGATACTTATGGTCATTTAGCCTCATGTCTAGCATGACTCAGGCCAAGAGGATGGTTCCCAGCAACTCCTGAGTTCCTTCAGTCCTGCCTCTGTCCAGGCACTTGGGGCGACCCCCACTGTGAGAGGTCAGGCAGCCTGTGGGCCAGGGGTAATTGGGGATCCACTGAGCCAGGAAGCTGGCAGGTGCGGCTAAGCCTGATAGAGGGAGTCACCTGAGCTTGGAGGAGGGCTGGGCGTAGAGCAGGTATAAGCCCCGGTCCTGAGTGAAGCTGGCAGTAGCATGTTGGAGCCCACCGAGACACCTTCGCTTCTGCAGGATGGCTGCAGTCAGAAGGCCAACATGGAGGACGACATCCAGAGCAATCTGGAGGGTTGGGGAGGAACTAAGGGGAGGAGGAGGTTCCTAGGGACCCAGGGAGGGCTTTGGAGCCTGGATTGAGGGGATGAGAGTGTGGAGCGAGTGAGGGTCCAGGGCCCAGAGGTGGGGCCACGTGTAATAGAACGTCACTGAGGAGGCCAGCTCTGAAGCATGGTGTAGGGGAGGACTGGAGCCATGCAATTAGCCTATAAGATAGGGGGACCACAGTGCACCCAGTGGCCATTTCAGAGTAATTTAGGAAGCCCTGGGGCAGCATCCCTCATAATAATAATTAACCACAAAATCTGGTGGGGGTGTTTGCCCATATAGTGAGGGCTGCAGGGACTCCAGGAGCTTCGTGGCCACCCCTGGAGAAGCACTCTGCCACATGGCAGGTGTAAGAGGCACTGAACATTGGAAGTCTTCCCAAGGCTGCTGATATATCAAGTGTAGCACTTGCCTTGCATTGGTGGCTCTGTGTAAGAAATGGCTGTGGTGCTTAATTGAGTTGCACAGGCAGGTTTTTGAACTGGGCTGTGTCACTGAATGGTGCAGTCTTGCCCTGCTGACAGCAGCGTTCTCCAGCATCGTCATCTTCAGCCCTGCTGGGGGTGAGAGTGTAGCACTTCCCGAGATACTGCCGCTGAACCGTGATGGGATTGCAGAGCAAGGCGGGGAAGTGTGATAGATAAGTTGCTTAGGAGCTTGTAACTATTTCTCATGGTGCCAGAAGAGACTTTTTTTTGTCTAAATCTTTGGTCATAAGGTTTGAACTGGCTTTGCACTTGATGGGGACTGTGTCTCCTGGGGCATTGCCTCTGTCTGCACAATCACAATCTCCCGGCTGCAATTTGGAGGTAAAAACAAAGAGCAGAGTGTTACAATTCATATGTTGTTTTGATTGATCAACCAGGTACTTCTCCCCATGAAAATCCCTATACTGTAGTTGTTACAGCTCAGGCTTATTTAGTTTAAGGCAGTTTTTATAATCATAATACTAGTTTTTCAGATGCTAGTCTATGTAGGAACAGGTGCAAACCAGCTGAAAGGCTCTCCTCCACTTCAATGGGGTTGTATCAGGGCCAAATATCTGAACAAGGTCTTTCTTCTTTAGGGACAAGACAGTCAAAGTCAGTAGACACTTTACAGGTATGTGAGCTGTCTGGTAGGCTGAGGTCAAAGAGATCCTTGTAGTTCCTTTTCCTGCATCCAGAGCACTAACAACCAGAGGAGCTGGGCTCAGGAGATCATCCTGATAAGTCTCACTGGCCCTACCTGACGAACGGACTGTGACAAGCATCACTGAATAGTTATACCAGTGCAGAGCAAGTCAGGGATGTCGGTCAAGACTGAAAGATTCAAACTGGGTTAGATATGAACATTTCCATCGGATCCCAAGAGGTTCAGCGTAGAATGGAGAGGTGCTCGGGTGTAAGAGGACAGGTTCAACCCAAGCCTAACAAATCGACTGAGGAGGCTGTGTTAGAAGGTGGTTTGTTCTTGCTCTCACTGCTTGTTCCCACTGTGGAAGTGCCGACCTCACTCCATTAGGATCAGGGTCTGAACATGGTAGATGCTGCACAAGAACAGGAGCACCCAGTCCTTATTCTTTGCATTGCACTGAAATGCCATTTCTTAGCACTGAGGGAGCTAAAGAGGGATCCATGTTGGGGGAAAAGGGAACTAATGTTTGCAGCTCAGCACCGATACCTGAATACTATTTGCTTGCTTTAGTGCTGTTCATGCTGTGACTTATCTTATTAGGGGAACACCGCAATGGGAAATCCTAACTCTGACCTTGTGACTTTTTTGTTGCTGCTTTGAGCTGATATCTTAGCAAACCTGTATAATGCAGTCTGAGCTATGGAGACCTCAAACCTAAATCGTCTTTTGGTTCCCAGTATCTCATACAATCATGGCAATGACTTCTGAACCCGGGGTCTAAAGTCCATCATTAAGCTCCTAGAATAAGTCGCTTGCATTGTTCAGCGAACTGAGCAGCTCTCAAATTAAAGTCTTGTAGTGCCATCTGGTGACATAGCTGGAAGTTTATCTTCATGTTTACAGGAGATTTGGAGCTGACTGGGAAACTAGGAAAACCATGATAGAAACATTTTTGTATTTTTTGTCTGCGATGCAAATGTATCCTTACTGCTTTGTTTCACGCAGCCTACCACTTTCCCTGTTGGAGAAAAGAGATGTGGGAGTTTTTTTTCCCCTCCTACTTAAAATATAAACAGGAATTTTCCTTGGAACTGTTCTGAATTTTATTAGCAGAGAAAAAAGATATTTTATAGAAAATCAAGGGGGATCCATGTTGGGGGAAAAGGGAGCTAATGTTTGCAGCTCAGCACCGATACCTGAATACTATTTGCTTGCTTTAGTGCTTTTCGTGCTGTGACTTATCTTATTAGGGGAACACTGCAATGGGAAATCCTAACTCTGCCCTTGTGACTTTTCTGTTGCTGCTTTCAGTTGATATCTTAGCAAACCTGTATAATGCAGTCTGAGCTATGGAGACCTCAAACCTAAATCGTCTTTTGGTTCCCAGTATCTCATACAATCATGGCAATGACTTCTGAACCCGGGGTCTAAAGTCCATCATTAAGCTCCTAGAATAAGTCGCTTGCATTGTTCAGCGAACTGAGCAGCTCTCAAATTAAAGTCTTGTAGTGCCATCTGGTGACATAGCTGGAAGTTTATCTTCATGTTTACAGGAGATTTGGAGCTGACTGGGAAACTAGGAAAACCATGATAGAAACATTTTTGTATTTTTTGTCTGCGATGCAAATGTATCCTTACTGCTTTGTTTCACGCAGCCTACCACTTTCCCTGTTGGAGAAAAGAGATGTGGGAGTTTTTTTTCCCCTCCTACTTAAAATATAAACAGGAATTTTCCTTGGAACTGTTCTGAATTTTATTAGCAGAGAAAAAAGATATTTTATAGAAAATCAAGGGGGTCATATATTCTCATCTGTTCTGAACCTTTACTGAAGTTAGGTGTAAAGGCGTCTGCTTTGCACTCTGCTTTACATGCGAGATAGCAGAACTTATACCAGGAAGCAGAGATGGCTTTGGTTTCTTTGGTGCTTTACTAGTTCGGCAGGGCTATATGGATTATTCCCTTGGAATATGGTCCTCAGGTCTGTTTTGCTACCTGACCCTAAAGCTGTGAATCTCCATCCACCTCTGTATGCCACACGGATGGACCTATGCTCTACTGCCCATTTGATAACATGTGAAACCAGTTTATATTTCTTTCTTTTAGTCTCTCCCCTGTGGCTCCGTTTTCTCTCAAATCAGGTCCCTGGAGGCCTGAGAAGCAGACTGAGGCCA